GAGTATTTATTAAAGTGCTTTGCTGACCTGGAGCCTATGCACAGGATCTGAGTTTATACTCCTTAATGTGGCATTATTGTTAGGTCCAGCACGAAATACACAATGGAGCCATTTTAATGTTTTCAAAAGGCTTTCTGCCCTGTTCTGTTGTCAGGGAACAAACCCAGCTTCTTGAGGGAGGGAATGATTTTGGTCAATTAAAGGAGCAACACTGATGGGCTCCAGAGAGCCAAAGGGAAATGATTCTAGGAACCACAGTCTGAATACAGCATATGCAGGGGAACCATGCAATGGGGGAGGGATCAGATAGCTCCAGGAGAGAGGAGGAATCTGCTGAGTGCCTCTCAGAGGTGCACCTCAGATCTCCTTCCCCACCCCAAGCTTTTCTAGAGCTCACCAAGGAGACTTTTCTCCATGGCACAGAATGGGTACACAAGCTCCCTGAGCTACTTCCTGGTACATTGGCCTTCCTCCATAGAATGGAATCATGCTGCTTCCCAGGATGCAGAATCTTTTGTGGCTTTTTCTTGAGCTCAAGCGTAATGAAAGATTTGTCCTTGACACTGTTAGCAAAGTACAAATAACTGTGCTGTCCCAGTATGTTTCACAGTGGCTTCGAAGTCAGATGTTACATCTGTAATTCATTTCACTCACATTGTGGTATGAGGAGGTCTCTGTTAAGCGATTTCACTGGCCATCATTTTATCATAACAATTTTTAAAAGGTTTATTGTTAACAATGAAAGCTGAACATCTCAGCAAGGTGAAGGGGCTGTTTACACTTCCCTTTGAAATACTGTTTGAGGCTTTCTGCAGATTCAGGCAAACATTACTGCCTCTGTTTGCATTCTGGTTACCCTTGGAAAATTGTCTTTAGAATCCTAATGGCTAGAAACATTTTTGATATAAAATGAAAACTTATACTCTGGACAGAATTCTGTGGAAGAGGTGGATTCTGTAGATGATTATGTAGCCATGGAATCACAGAATACACTGGTTTCCCTTGCCCAGGGCTTCCACACACACTCATATTTATTGCACACATTCATGCTAGTCAAACCTGTATTTGTACATGCAAATCGACATTTCTGCATATGAATATGGCTCCTTCAATTGATGCCCACAAAGATTTTTACAGTTGCAGTTTCAGAAGGTAGTTTTGAAATGTTGTCCATTGACACAGAAAAGCACTCATCCATCAACTGGCTTATTAAAACAAGTCTCCAGAACCAAAAACGATAGTGTCTCTTGATTAGTGTAGATGTCAGAAAATGTAATTATCCCAAGAGACCCTTTGGCTTTACTAAAGCCTAGGCATAGTAGAAGAAGAACTGAGTAAACTTGAATAGGGTTTGATGTCTTACAGATGCTTACAATAGCATCCTGCTAAAACTAATGTGTCTGAGACATCCCCAGTACATCTAGCTTCACCAAGATGGTCTGGTGGCTATCTAGCAGGTACTAATTAAATACAGACGCTCCCCGACTTACGCAAGCGTTCCATTCCAGAACGCCTTGCGTAACTCAAATTTTGCGTAAGTCGGAAACGTATACCTGACCATTATGCCCAAACAAACAAACAAAAAACTATTTCTAACTTACAGAACTTTTTCCGTAAGTGCAGATTTGCGTAACTCGGGTTTGCATAACCCGGGGGGCATCTGTGCTTCAATCTCACAGCTCACAAGCCTGATTATCCCTTCCTTCTGCCATGCTGGATTGGAAATATAGTACACAGTATTAACTATTTACTTCTAAGCAGTAACCTCTTGATCAGGGGTTCTCAAACTTCATTTCACCGCAACCCCCTTCTGGCAACAAAAATTACTACATGTCCTGGGAGAGGGGACTGAAGCCTGAGCCCGGCCGCCCTGCTGGGTCTCTGCTGCCCCTCAGTGCTTTGGACAGGACAGGATTAGGTTCTTGTAAAGGATTGTGATCTGTCTTATAGCCCCCTCTTCCAGCTGTATCCAGGGTTGCTCTTGCTAAGCCAGCACCCTCCCTGATGGAATTCTGCCTGAAACCTTCTCATGGAGTCCGGGGAAGGTAATTTCCAGCAAGGTCAGTTGTTGAAGGGTTTTTTATTATTATTTCAAGTCTCCTCAACAAAACAAGATCAAAACTTCCCCAAGTCTGTCCCTTCCCCCCATAAGTTCCTCAACCCAAAAGTTCCTGATTCTTACCTCAGAACCTCTGTGATAATAGAACTTCCCACAGCCTCCCTTCTGTCCATTTTGTTTCTTGGAGCCGTTCTTCCCATCAGTAGCTCCAACGTCTGGCAGGCATTGCAGCTCACTCTCTCTCCATTTCTTGCTCCTCTTTTTATGAGGATCAGCCCGACAAGCAGCAGGTCTTTTTCCAGGTGCAGTGTGTGGGACTAATCAGACAGCCAACTGCTGTCCTCTGACCCCAGAGGAATGGTACCCCTTGTACGTTCATAGCCCTATATTATGTACTTCAGTACTAAACTAGTATTACTACTGATACTCAAAAGAATAAGGTTAAAATGAGAAAGAGAGAGAGGCAATAAATCATGCTTTAATACATTTAGCAGTATCTGAAATTGTACCATTGCCAATGTCCGTGACAGTAAATCCCTCCCCAGTCCCAAGTTCTGTTGTTTTCTTTTCAGGAGTGTAATTAGCTGCCCAGTGCTCCCTTAAAAGTCTACTTAATGTGTATAATCGGTAAAGAGAAAATCACTGGGGAGAAGTAAAATGCCAGCACTAAGGACCCAATACTGCAACATCTTGTGCATCCTTAGCTCCTGTTGAAGTCAATGGGAACTGAGAACATGCAGTACTTTGCAGGAAGCACTTAGCACTTTTAGGATCAGGCATTAAGAGATTTGCAACAAGTAGAGTGTGGATGGAGAAAAATATGGCAGTCTAAAAGCTGAGAACTTTTTTTCCAGTATTTCCAGCATAACCTCAAACTCTCATTCAAATATGAGAATGTTTATATGGATTTGGAACACTTCCTGCTTAGTTACCAAGCACATAAAATCTTTAAATCTAAATATTAGTCAAACATACTTCCATAGTGTTTTTAATTAAAGCCTCATTTTGGTACTTTCATAATTAAAAAATGCACAGTAATAATAAGCTTCCTATTCAGGGATTGTAATAAATGTTTAATGGTAAGTTTAGCAATGTGCTGATTTTGTCCTAATTGAAACTGTCACAATCAATCTAAGCCTTTAAAATAATAGTATCAAAATTATTGGTGGCAGAGATAACACCGGAAGCAAGAACTACAACTGTGATGTATTTCTCCAGATATAGTTAATTAATCTGTAATAGGCTCTTGAGAGAGGCTTGTTTAATCATCTGGCCCATATTTCCTTAATTCTGTTTAATGTCAATATTCTTCATAGCATTACAAAGTCAGTTTTAAAACTATGTATAAAAATTGGATGGCAGCTCCAAATTACTTCTTTTCCGCTTATCTTTAATTTATTTCAGTATTGGTGTGTTAACAGATGTTGTAAGCCTTTCATGTCAGTGTTATAGCATCTTTGTCTGCACATTTTTACATTAAACTATAAGAGGCATTGCATTTCTTATTAGTGAGATTTGTGTATAAATTAGAAGTACCCTCTGGGAACAAAAATGCTACTATTTCATCTCAATGTTCCTTCATCAGGATTAGGATGAAACAACCACAGATTCATCTGCAACATTGGTTATTCCATTGCCAAATGGGAAAAAATTTACTTCAGAAATGTGTCTGGGTACTTAGTTTATAATCCAATCTAATGATTTTCACACTTTGTATGATTATATAAGAATTAGAGACAACTGGAAAGTATAATAACTTTCTTTTCCTCACAGTATTTATTTGCTTCTAATAACAACCTATAAGATTATATGTTTACAAATAAAGGACCAATAGGCATTTCCCTGAGTAAAAACAAAGTAGAAACAGAGCATGGATTTCAAGATTTAGCTGCAAATAAATATTGTATAATTTTTTTTCTTTCAATATGTAATCCTGTGAATACTGCGGGCATCTAAAACACACCATTAAAACATTGCTTAGTACTATTCAACAAGACACGATGTGTGGGGATCAAAGAATGCGTGTACATTGATCAAAGAGAACACTGTGTAATGAGTGATGTTACATTCAACTCTGACTTAAACAAATATTCTGTTACTGTGGTACAGAAAGATTTTGGCAGCTGGAAGGAGGAACACACTTAGTTCAAACATCTTCCCTTTGCTTTCATTGTCTTCCTTAACCTCTTTGCTGTTGGTCCTTTCTAACATTTCATTGATGCACTAATGTCCCCAATACATTCAGTAGTATGGAATGTACTGTACATTCAACCTGGGACATAAGTCAAGAACAGTAAAAAGTTAGTTGCAAAAGGAGGCATGAAAGTCACATTCTGCATGAGGTCTTGGAATCGATGTTTCATGAAGAATTATGAGATTTCAAAATTTGATTTTGTTTTGAATTTGAATGAAACCTGAACATTTCAAAATTCTCCACAAAGAAAAGTTAGGGGGGGGGGGGGATTTGTTTCCGATCAATCAAAACATTTCATTTTGACAAAATCAAAACAATTTTCGTTTTGACTTTTTTGTCTTCTATTATAATAGTATAACAAATCTAAAAATTCTAAAATAAAAATCATTTCAAAACAAAAAATTGAAATGTTTCATTCCAAAAATGTCAAAATGAAATGTTCTGACGTTGGCTCAGCTTTTTTCTCCAAACTGCAATGTGCTTTTAATCACATAATTTTTATAAAAACTAAGGTTTTAAAAGTGCAAAGGATAAAAATGAAATTCTCTCCAGATGGAAATGAAATCTTCAGAGAGACATACATGAAAACAAACAATCCTCTTCAGCATATTCAGTGCAGTCATAAACATACGTAGACACACATGCAAAACTTTTAACGGGATACCAAATGGACAGGAAAGTTGTCACAACTGGTCATGGATAAATAAGGTCTAATATGTTCGTTTGTTGTTGTTGTTCAATTCCCAGAAGGGTCAGCAGAAACGTATCACCGAAGAAAGAATCCACAATGGAAAAAACAACTCACAGTTGCTTCTTACTGATTATGCTTCTAATCGTAAGTAAAAGAAAAATGAACTGCTTCTGACACCTGACAAATGAAAATGAGTAGAAATGTTCTGAAATCTAATACAACTCTACACTATTACTGTTGTACACAGAGGACAAGGAATGGGTGTCCAATTGATAAAACCTTTCACATAGCTGTTACGCCTCGGTGACTACACTGTACATGGAAGGTCTGAACTGTGTCAAATTCTGAAAAGTTCATGTAGTCTTGAAATAGTTTTCATTTTAAAAACAAGGAAAACAAATTAATCATGGGTAAAGCAGTGTGACAGAATCAAAAGCAGACTGTAATTGTATATAATTGTGTATACTGATATATTATGGAAAAATTATATAATGGTGACAAATTTCTGCAATTCTGTTAGTGAGACATTTGCCATTTTAATGAGGATACCCTTCATTTGGTACTCTTTCATCACTACAGCCTTCACAATTTTGAATATAATTTATTTATGTCTGGTGGCAGTCAAGCCCTGGCCCCCATCAGGCTTTTGTGAGTCAACCACCTGAGCAACTGCCTCCCTAAAATTTCTAAAGCCCATGTCTGGGCATCGGGCCAGCAAGCTGCACATTGACTGCAGAACAAGGGGGTTTTAGGCCCCTTCTGCCAATCGCCCAGTCAACTGCTGTTCCAGGATCTGGGCCAGGTAGGGATTCATCCCTTTGATGGACTGGTTGGTTTGTTCAAGACAAACTCACTTAGCATCTTGTGGGTTTCTGAGTCTGAGAATAAAACTCCTTCATCTGTTCATGGGGGAGGGGGAAGTCAGAAGCTCAAACACTTCCCCTAGCTGCCTAAAAATATTTTCAACCGTCATCCAGCTATGTCCTATCCTTATGTCCTCTAGGCAGCTCCCCACAGCTGACTGAGCAGGACCCTGGCTTTCTGTTGCTTCGGGGGGCAGTACATTTGAAATGCAGATTCTAGCTCCTCCTGAAAAGCCATGAAGCTGGTCTGACCATTCCCCATAAACCAGGGCAGTCAGCGGGTCACCATAGGATATGCCATCATCATTGGAATTGGGTGGGCCACATGGGGAATCCAGACTTGACATGGTCCCTAGGGTTCCTGCCTAAGCTCCCCAAATCCTGTCCATGAGGACACTTGTCAGGTCGGGGGCCATCTGGATTTAGTTGAGTGGATTTTAGATCTTAATCCAGATGCGAGGGACAAACCCTTTTTTTCCTGGCAAGCATCAAGCCCCCACCCTTGGGGAGGAAGGAGGTAACCCCAGCAATGGACACTGCTCTGAGCAATAAAGCAATACTTTTATATAAGCAGGACAAGTCCTGAATCCATATCGGGGCAATGGTAAGAGGAGACCCCCTATGGGAAGTTACACATATGCATTGCCCAGCAATAATACAGTGTACCCAGTCCCCCAAATCTAAATATATAGATTCATGCTCTTTGACCTGATTAAGAGTTCCAGTAGCCCCAGCCCAAAGTGAAGTAAGACCCAATGCTTTGCTGTAGTCACTGAAGCTACAATGTGCGGTGAACTCATTGAACAGTGAGTTCGGATTCATGTTTCCTGGACCATCCATCCCCATTGTTGATGAGTTGGTCCAGAGTTTCCAACTGAGTCCACCTGTTCTCTGGATCACACCCCTCTGCTGTGGCTCCAAGGTACATCCAGCTGCTCTCTATTTTAGTCCAAAAATCAAACTGCCAATACAGTGGCAGCATCTTTTCCAACCCCTACCCCTGGGGCTAGCTGATTGGCCTAGAGTCACCCATGTGACCACCTGCCAATCTCCTCTCTTGGTTTTGGAGTGACACAACTTCCACCATAATGAAATTCAAGACATGGACAACCAGCTGCTTGTTTTTGTTTGAGAATGACACTCGTCACCACCAGTGAAATTCCATAGTCTGTTATCCAATCTCCTGCAGCCATCCCACCCCCACAACAGAGGAGGCAGACCCTGCAGGATCTCTGGAAGGCAGTGCCCTCCACCACCTCTAGCCAATCAGAGCTTTCTTGGGTGGCCCTATGCCACCTCACATGTAAAATATAGATAACTTTCTAAATTATTTTCTGCTGAGAGGGCTTTTCTATTTTTGCTGGTGCTGTATAGTTCTTAAAGTCCAAAGCAATTTTTACTATTCATTAACTTTATTGAAAAAAGGTAAAATAATCCACTCTTGATTTTAATCATTAATTTAAAATAAAGAGGAATCTGTTGAGCACATATTGTACACAATGTATAGTTTTGCAGATTCCTGAGGAAAGTATAGGACAGAATAGGGCCAACCTATTCAGAAGAAAATAGATCTTCCTGGGCTGCCTCATACATTACATGTGGAAGCTTCTCATAATAAATGCAATAAAGGGTGAATCATCATTTTAAATCTTTTCGCTATTTACTTTTTTCCCCTAAGACCTATTCGGAAGGAGCAGTATCTGATTATCTGTGCTGTTGCCTTTGAAAAAATTGCTTTAAAGTGAATATTCCACCTTGCAGCTACATATTGCCATCCAGCTGTAAGCAACTGGGGCTCAAACGTACAAGTCTTACTCGTACAGGTATCCCCCTTGAAGGCAAATAAATATTTTATAGTTTAGAGTTGGTGAGAGTGGTTCTGCATTTGCTTATTTTCAAACTGTGGTACAAACAAAATGGGTACAGTTTTCTATTAAACAAAAGCCTGCCTGCACCCAAAAAGGTAGATTCTCAAATTAAAGGATGCTCCAGGGTTTTGGCTCAATCTCTACTTTTCAAATTTAAAAATTAAAATAATGAATGTCATTGTGAAGTTGATTGGTCTAAAGCAGCTCCCTATGACAAAAGGCCAAATATAGTCTTCCTTCAAGCCCATGGCTTCCATTGGACTACTCATATAAGTAAGGATTCCCCATGTGAGCCAGGCTTGCAGGACTGCCTTGCAAAAGTAGTATAATAAATATTAATGAAGAGAAATGTTGTTTTTCACTAAAATTACAGTGTCTTTCCATTATGCTACTGGTGGTCTCTTGCTTATTTAAAGACCTGCCAACATTAGTGATGTAAGCATCATGGGATCGCAGTATAAAAACTAGCTTCTATCCTGCTTTAATGCTAGCTAAATATTAGAAGAATTTTAATGTTCAATGTATGAATGTGAGGAACTAACATTAAATATTTCAAAGTTCTTTTACTCATGTTAAACAAATATTAAAAGATGGGGAAAAATTATTATAATGTTCTATAACATTGAGAGTACCGTGCATTAATTGCCCTCCTAAAGCATGCTAAATGGATTCTATCACTATCCTACCATTAATAGTCATGAAGAGACATGGGACCAGATTCAAGGTTCTGGAGGGTCTGTGTAACCCATGTTGAGTTGTGCTCAGTTCCCACTGAAAGATTGGATGTACCGATGGACAGGAATTTAGTGATCCATATAGTGGTGACTGGATATAGCCATTTAAAAAAGAATTTGGAGAGTATTTTTCAGTCACCAGAACCAATAATAATAAATTATTGGCTTGGCCAGAATTCATAAGATATTTTTTGGGCTCAACATTAGAGGTTGCCAATTTACTATACTTAGTTTAGAAAAAAGGCAGATGGAAGGAAAGAAAGTGGTCCTAAATGTCACTTAGAGTCAATAATTTATACAGTACTTTTTATGTTTTTATCATTACTAATGATGGAGTAGGGCCTTTTTGGAAACTTGTTCATCACATGAAGCAGTTTCTGAAACAACTATATTTTATGTTTCCTTTATCTGGAGTCTGTGTTGTACAAATGAGGAAAATCTTGCATCGATAAGACAGACGGATTTACCTGTGTTTAAGAATTTATAATAGAGTGGGACAAATAATACATGCAAATTGCTTTCATCTGGACTGTATTACCAATTCTAGGTATAAAGAGATCATCAGTATTCCCAGCACTCTACTCATAGTGATAATTCATCTTCTTATAACTGTCATATGAGTGGTGGCTTGGTGGTCGTATGTATGACGTCATTTACTTGGACTTTTAGGAGTGACATCATATGTACGGCTGCTAAACTGCTGCATGGGACATCACTTAAGCAGTTTTCTTCAGAAGAAATAATACTGATCACTTATGCCATATGCCAAATGTCCTGATTATGAAGTTGTGAATTATTTATTTCTCTTTAATAAAGAATAATTTGTAATGCACAAGGTATTCTACTTTACTGTACATATCGACATTATTTGTACTTCCATCTGAAATAATTGATGGCTGGGAAATTTTTTCAATACATAGTAATGAACTTGTGGAAAATACAAATCCACACACTATAGCAGATATTAATTGATAAAAGATTACTTAGTCTTGTTAAATACTTTTTATGGCATAACAGATGTTAGAAAAAAGCTTCTTAAGGTTAATTCCAAAAACACCCAATTACAACATTCCAAATGTAAATTTCCAAATTTAGATTTCTAACCAAATTTCTTGATAATTTCTCCAAGGAACTAATAGCCTGATCCAATGCCCACTGAAGTTAATCGGAGATGGATAGGAGCCTATGTGACCTGTATGTGGAGCCTATATGTGTATCTGAGCCTACAGCTGTGGAAGAGTGGACTGTAGGATGTTATGAATAAAGTCATTTCCCCTACTTGTCCCAAGGGACTTTAAAGCTTCTTTGTATGCAAATAAGGAGAAAAGATACATAACCCCTTTTTTTGCAGTCTATCATACTTAATTAAGTAACCTCATAACGCAAGAATTGAGGATGCAACGATAATATGTCACCTCATTCTAGATGTAAAAAAATTATTAAATATATTAATATTTTGATTGATTAAGCCCCAGCATGTAGGGTCTGTTCCTAAACCCACTGAAGTCAGTGGAAAGACCGCCACTGACTTCAGTGGTCTTTGGATCGAGCCATTTAATACCAGAGCGATGGGTGCAGTATAAGCTCCATGTAGAGGCCTATGTCTGTCCCTCCCTGTCAGGCCTGGAGGGAGGCCACGCCTCCTTGCTTCTGTGTCTCTGGAAAAGCTGGCTTAACGG